TAAAAGACTACAGCAACAAAACCAGAACTTACTTCAGGAATAACCCAAAGTGAAAGTTTTGCATACAGAAGATCTATGGACACTCCTTTGAACTTGAATTTCAAAACTGGGACATGTGCATCAGGGACAGGGTGCAACTCTGTTACTTCAGGCATCTCTGACAGCATTCTCTGTAGCTCACCAAAGAAATCCTCCTACATCCAATTTCATAGAAGCATCTCTAAGTTGATCAAGCAAAACATCTTAGATGAAAGAAAAAGAAAAAACAAAAAATATCTCTCTCAAATATGAAGGAGGAGTGTATCGCACATCTCGTGCTGCATGTCTTGGTCCCACACAAAGAGTATCTATGTCTGCACCAGGGCCATGTACCTGTTTAAACATGGGGAAATAAAAAGGAAGTAACACATACAAAGGTTACAAGCAGAAAGCAATAAGGCAAGGGAAATAATAAAATAAAGGCACTATTACAGACTTCGTAAAGTACATTATACATTAAAGGCACTAGCATGCGAAGAGTTCCTAAGATACATTAAATTCTGAAATGCTCAACCACAACCCAAAATCACTTGCCAACTAGAAACAGTATGCTTTTTTTATCAGATGGTAGGAAATTAATTTCCAGACATGAAAGCATCATTATTTTAGCAAATAGGAAATGGTCAAAGCTTAATATTGTCTTCTAGTCATTCCTATACAACCAAACTTGACATAAGACTGATTGGTAAAAGTCTTCCACATGGTTGGAAAAATTAAGTTTTAAAGCTCAGATTTGCAACCAATATAGGGCTTACAATGGAAACCAAACTTGTTACTGATAATGGTTGGAACAATAGAGATTTTAACTGTCAGCATTGTACTTGAAGAGCTTTGGATGGATACAAACTGTTATTGTACTTGAATTCAGCATTTGACTATGAACTTTCTATCTGCAAGGGTGCTACAAGATAGCGATAAAAATAATGTGGCTAGCTCCTTTCAAGTACCAAAAGAATTGTTCCAAGTTAAATGAAAAGCAAATACATGCACCTAAAATTAGTTTAAAAGAAAAGGATAAAAATGAGAAAATCAAAGCATAAAACAATTGATAGAATGGACTACGACATATTGTTCATCTCAAATGGCTAGACCAGAACAGCTAAACTTATCCTAGAAAACAAAATGCTCTATTTGCCTATAAAAATACACTTCACCAAAGGAATTGTTATTAGATTCCAGTCAATCCTAAAAAATTCTATAGCATCCCATTAGAACAAATCCCCATGTAATGAATGGCACTGTTCTGCTAGAAATATCTCAAATCAATACGCTTTGAAATGACAACAATAAGGGAGTTGATCACAAGATATCAAGTCAGCAACATCAAAGAAGTATATCAATGTTTTCTCTTTAAGAAATAGTCCACTAATGTTTCATCCAAACTAAAATTTTAATTCGTTCATTACTGACCATTCCATTAGCTCTAGCCTAAGTACATATAATAAAGTAATAACAAAATTCAAATCCAGGTATCCAACCAGCTAATACAACAAATAATCTGTCAAGGAATGTGTTTATGAAACCATGTATATATACAGGACGCATGCCACTGGATGTAGCAGATTTCAATTTCCATAGATAAAATGTAAAACAGTATAAGTTTAGTACTACTTTGAAGGACCAAACAAGAAACACAGAGCAGACAGAAACTTATCATACCCCTAACCGATAAGAACCAAACGTGAATATCTTTGCATTTGCTTCTTGAACCAGTTGCTCATTCAAACCTTTTGCCCGGCTAATTGCCTTAACCCAAGTCTTCACAATCTGTTTCATTTAACAACAATAATAGCAACATCAAACACCAACACAACAGAAAAAGACTAATACCATTTAATAATCAAGCAAGAAGTAACTATTGCTAGTATTATACTAGTAACACATCTCCTTTGAACAAATAGATAACCAAGGCAAAAAGTGAACTCTAAATTCTTTTCTACTCCTTAATTAGGATTGTTAAACCCAGAGCCAACCTGGTCAAGCCTCCCAAGTACTTCTTCCCTACTCACAGCTTCCTCCTTACTTTCATACAATCCTGCATCTTGCAAATGCTAAACATCCACAAAATGAAGAAACAAAATCAGCATATTTTACACTCAGAAATTCAAAACAAAAACTGGTAAGGTTCAAAGTGCAGATAACAACCTTCTCAAGTTCTCGGGTCTTGATCACATCATACTCAGTTGGGCCACCCAAAGAAATAGGTTCGGTAATGCCTAGTCGTTGCCCATTATTTCTGTTGCCCAATGCAGGACTCCCCATTGTTCTTATTTTCAAGAATTTTTTCTTTTCTTTTTTCTTTTTTTTTTTTCCTTTTTTGGCAATCAAGTGATTCTGTTAGTCAATAATTTTATAGATAATATTTTCACAAATTTTTTTCCTCCTAATAAACATCAAGAAGAAGCAAATAAATAAAAAGGTAACGATGAAATAATAGTTGAATGTACAGTATTGGAGCGGATACAAACTCCCAGTCGGACCACCATAAATCTTAAAAATGGCATAAAAATTAGAACTTTTAAGGGAAAAAAAGTGCCTTTATGACAGGACTATAACTAGAAACTGAGTACATCACCAAATAAGGCCTCAAATTTGAAGAAAACCCTAACCCTAATTGAAGAACACAAGCACTAACTCGAGTACAAATCAATCAGAAACTTGGAAAGCAAGCCTTCAGCCTCTGATTGTTGATGATGATAGCGGCAGTCGTGTGGTTGCGGATTCTCTCCATCGATCACAGCGATCAGAAGAAAATCGAATCTCGAAGAGATAACATAAAGGGCCCTGAAAAAATAGAATCAAAATCTAAGAAAGGAGAAATTTTGAACTGGAGAAAAGATGAAGATAAGGGAGAGAGAACTTACAGATGAGATAAGGTTGAGATGAGTGGGGATGATGGTTTTCTAGTAGCACTTTCTGGGGTTATCGTGCTTAATTTTCTTTTCTTCCAAACAGCAGTAGGATTGCTTTTATTTTTATTTTTTTCTTTTCGGCCCGACTGCGGTAGGATCGTTGGCAGTGGGGTAAAATCATAAAAGAGAAGGATTAAAAATAAATAACTTTTAATATATTAAGAGTTTAATCATAAAGGGTTTTTCAAATTAAGAGTATAGTAAATTGTATTAAAAATAAAAATTACAGTAACTCTTAATATATTAATTTTTTAATTAAAATTATGTACTGATATTGGTATAAAAATTAATATTAATTTTATATTTTTATTTAAATTAATTATTAACAAATATATTAATTATAATGTTAAACTGTGATTTAAAAGTACATATTAAAATAAACTCATAAATAAATAAATAAAAATAAAAATAAAATTTGCCTATATCATAAAGATAAATATTAAGTCATATTAATCTTTGTATTTATAATTAGTGTTGCACAAGTTTTCATATTAAATTCAATTAAAATAAAATATAATATGT